AATGTAGAAAATTAGGCTGCATTCCCCAACGTGGGACAAAAGAATGGAGAAAAATAACACAAGAAGCCAATCTGTGTTGTGCTGCTTTCTGCCTAAACATTTCTCTGCTACTTGCCCTCCCTGGGCCAGTCTTTTTTTTTTTTTTGAGACAGAGTCTCGGTCTGCCGCCCAGGCTGGAGTGCAGTGGTGCGATCTCAGCTCACTGCAAGCTCTGGTCCCAGCTTCACGCCATTCTCCTGCCTCAGCCTCCCAAGTAGCTGGGACTACAGGCGCCCGCCACCATGCCCGGCTAATTTTTTTTGCATTTTTAGTAGAGACGGGGTTTCACCGTGTTAGCCAGGATGGTCTCGATCTCCTGACCTCGTGATCCGTCTCTGGGCCAGTCTCTTAATGGCCTTGATTACCTTCTGTCCATTAAATACTCCAAAACCCTATTTTCAACTGCTCACTGGACATATTTCAACCTGGACAAACTTCTTGGTCATTTTTCAAGACCCACCTCCTCAGTTGCCAACCATGCCAGTCATTCCATGACCCTCTAAGAACCCCATCCACACCTTGGGACACTGTGGTCATTGTTTGGGTGGCTGTTTTCCCCACTAAGTCATGAGGTCATAGAGGGCAAAGGCCAAGCTTTCTTCTTTTGTATTTACAATTATAACCAACGGAAAATGTTTCTTTGAACAATCAGCTAAGGTTACATCTGTCAACATTTTCTTCCTTTAAAAATATTAATTTAGGCAATGCTTTCTGAACTTCTCAGCAGGAAAGGGCCCTATTAAGATTCCAATGTGACTGTCTTATTTTATATGGAGGAAGTGGCCAGTGGGGAAAGTTCTGAACCTTGTAACCCCAGAAGCTTAATGCCCTTGATCACTACTAGCTTGATTGTCAGCATAAAGACATAGTAAAGGACCTAGAATAATTTTGCAATATGACCTTTTTGAGAAAATTTTAAAAGACAAAATAATTTGGCCCAATGTAGGTAAAATGTATCAAGCTGCCTTCCATTCACAAATTACAAAGAAAGTATCTCTTTACCATCAATTTCTTTCTACTTCAATTTTGGGCCAGACTCAAAACATTTATAATTGCTAGGATAGAAAAATATGCATCCACATATGCATATGTAGTACGTATGCACACACACAGTATAAACAGATTTTTAGAAGATAATTTTTTTAAAAAGTCAAACCAACTGATTAAAATTATAACTCCACATTACTTTATGAAACTTATGATCAGCCAGCACTTCCGAAAGAACAAAATGTGAGAGATTCAAACCAACAGTGACTATGTTGCTGTAGTATGTTTTTGTTTTGTTTTGCTTTTTAAAGACAATCTCAGGCAATCTCAGCTCACTGCAACCTCCACCTCCCGGGTTCAAG